TTAGGGTTTAGGAAGAAACCCTCAATATAAGACAAGGGTTTGTTTTGGGGTTTGGGGCTCTAGGGTTTAGGGTTTAGGACTCGGGATTTGAGGCTTGGTGTCTAGGGTTTAGGGTTTGATGTCTAAGGCCCAGCAATTAGGGTTTGGTGCCTACGCCAGGGTTTAGGGTTTAGGGTTTAAGGCTTGGTCCTTCTAGGGTTTAAAGGCTAGTATCTAGGTTTTAGGGTTTAGGGTTTCGCGTCGATGGTTCACGGTTTAGGGTTTAGTCTCAAATGAGTTATGCAGAGAGCAAATTGGCACTGCTTTCGTTACTTGCGGCGGCGGCCGCAGCAGCAGCAGCAGCAGCAGCGGCTGCTGCTGCTGCTGCTGCAGCGGCTGCTGCCCTAAGCTGACAAGAGGGGTCTCTCCGCGAGCAGCCCCCTCGCCCCGAGGGGTCGCAGCAGCAAACCTCCGTGTTGTCTTTGCTGCGGCTGCTGCTGCTGCAGCACCAGCAACTGCTGCTGCTGCTGCTGCTGCTGGTTTTTGTCTATGTACTCCAGCAGCAAACTGACAGTTCTGCTGCAGGGCAGCCACAGGAAGCTCATGCAGCCCAGCGGGCTCAGAGCCACGCAGATGCCCCACAGCAGCCACAACCAGCTGCTGCCTTTTTCGACTGCAGCATTTGCTGCTGCTGCTGCAGCTGCTGCTGCTGCTGCTGCCAAAGGCACAGCAGCAGCCCCAGCCCCCTCCTCAACAGCAGAAGGCTTGTTGCCTCCTCGCATGCTCCTCGGGGCCTCCAATACCCCGTTTGGGTTTTGCTGCTGCTGCTGTTGCTGCTGTTGGTGCTGCTGCTGCTGCTGCTGCTGCTCCTGCGCCAAATGCGGCTGTGAACCTAGCTCAGCTGCGCAGCCAGCTTCAGCAGCACCTGCTGCTGCTGTAGCAGCAGCGCTTGCTGCTGCATCATCTGCTGGGGTGGCTATAGGTTCTGCTGCGGCAGTAGCATCTGCTGCAGCAGCACCTGTTGCAGCAGTTTCATCTTTTGCAGCAGCAGCACCTGGTGCGGCAGCAGCATTTGCTGCAGCAGCAGCATCTGCTGCACCAGAAGCATCTGGTGAAGCGCCAGAATCTGCTGCGGCCGCACTATTTGCTGCAACAGCAGCATCTACTTCGGCGGCAGCATCTGCTGCAGCAGCAGCATCTGCTACAGCAGCAGCATCTGCTACAGCAGCAGCATCTGCTGCAGAAGCGGCATCTGCGGCAGCAGCAGCACCTGCTGCAGCACCGGCATCTGCTGCAACAGCTCCTGCTGTAACAGCATCTGCTGCTGCAGCAGCAGCAACAGAGTCGCTTCCTACAGCTGCAGGAACAAAAGGAGCAGCAGAAGCCGCAGGCACGGACTCTTTAGCAGCAGCAGGAGCAGCAGCAGCAGCAGAGGCCTCCTTTTCCACAGCAGCAGCCGCATCTGCTGCTGCAGCAGCAGAAGTGACGACGGCAACACCCTGCGGCGCAGCTGCTGCTGAAGGTGAAGAGCGTGCTGTTGCTGTTGCTGCGTTTGCTGCTATCTCTGCTGCAGCGGCTGCTGCTGTTGTTGCTGCTGCTGCTGCTGATGAAGCTACTGCAGATTCAGCTGCTGCCCTTGCAGACGCTGCAGCAGGAGCAGCAGCAGCTTCGGCTGCTGCTGTCAATGCTGCTGGTGATCCTTCAGCAGCTGCAGGTGTTTGTGCTGCTGCTGGTGTTGCTGCTGGTGCTGCTGCTGCTGCAGGGGCTGCTTCTGCTCCTCCAGACAGTGCTGCAGCAGGTGTTCCTTCTGCTGCCGCTGTTGTTCCTGGTGCCGCTCCTGCCGCTGCTGCTGCTGCATCTGCTGCTGCTGCTGCTTCTGCTGCAGCAGCTGCTGCTGTTGCTCCAGGCGATGCGGACGCCCCGACTGCAGCAGCAGGCGGAGCAGCCTGTGCTGCAGCCGGTACTGCTGCTGCTGCTTCTGTTGCTGCAGGAGCAGCAGCAGCAGCAGCAGTGAGCTCTTCAGAAGCCAAAGAAGTGCCGCCTGTGGTATGCTGAAGTTGCTGCTGCTGTTCCTGCTGCTGCTGCTGCTCGTGCAGCAGCTGATGCTCTTGCCGCTGCTGCTGTTGCTGCTGCTCCTGCTGTTGCTTCGGCTGCTCCTGCTGCAGCTGCTGATGTTCTTGCTGCTGCGTTTGCTGCTGCTGCTGCGGTTCCACCAGCTGAGGCACTGCAGGAAGGCTATGCGGCGTAATGGCCTGGTTTTGTGCAGGTATTAGATCCTGCTGCTGCTGCTGCTGCTGCAGCAGCAGCAGCTGCTGCTGCTGCTGCTGCGCCGGCACCACCCCAAAGAGGAGGGCGAAGGTGGCGGGGACAGAAGCTGCAAGGAGCAGCGCATTAGTCGTCAGCAGCAGCAGCAAAATGGAACGTTTGCTGCTGCTGCTGCTGCTGCCGTAGAGGAAGGCCCCACCCGTGAGGAAGTGCAGCAGCAGCAGCAGCAAGTAGCAGCAGCTGAAGGGGTCAAGCGAGGCCCCAGGCCTAGCAACTCCCCACAGCAGCAGCAGCACAAACAGGAAAAGAGACTCCCGGCATTGCTGCCGCAGCTCCTGCCGCAGCAACGCAACCTGCCCTTCTTGCTGCTGCTGCTGCTGCAGCTGCTGCTGTTGCTTCTGCTGCTGCTGCTGCTGCTGAGGCGGCGAGGAAAGTGTACATACGCCTTCAAACGCCAGAGAATATCGATCCAACATCTCGCTGCTGCTGCTGCTGGCAGGACTTCGGCTGCTGCTGCTGCTGCTGCTGCTGGCCCTCGGTGTGGAGCCGCCACTGCCGGCCAAAGCAATTGTTGCGTGCGAGCTGCTGCTGCAGCTGCTGCTGCAGCTGCTGCTGCAGCTGCTGCTGCAGCTGCTGCTGCAGCTGCTGCTGCTTTCGTGTACGGCGCTGCCACCGCTGCCACTTGGATTCTCGCTGCTGCTGCGGCTGATGCTGCTGCTGCCGCTGCTGCTGCGGCTGCTGCTGCTTCGGATGCTGCTGATCAACGGCTTCCGCAAGAAGAAACGGTCAAGGCCGTAGGCAGAGGCCCCTTTGCTGCTGCTGCAGCTGGTGCTGTAGCTCGGTTTTGCTGCTGCTGCTGCTGCTGGCGCAGCAGTACTGGCAGCAGCAGCTGCTGCTGCTGCATTGATGGGGTAGAAGGCGGAGTGCTGCAGCGTCGCCGGCTGCTGCCGCTGCAGCAGCGGCTCAACTGCTGCTGCTGCTGCCGTCGTTGCAGCTGCTGCTGTTGTTGCTGCTGCTGCTTCCTGGGCTGCTTCGACCTCGTGCAGCGCAACAAATGGCCCTGCTGGAAGCCCCCAGGGCGCTCCCAGGGGGGCCCCCAGGGGGCCCCCATGAGTCATTCTAGTGAGCGGCAGCAAAGCAGCATAAAGCCAAACTTTTGGTGTAAAAAATGAAAGAAAAACGTCAAATATATAAGCAAAATTTGGGGGTTTAGGGTTTAGGGTTTAGGGTTTGAAGCTTGTAAGCATTTGCGGTCTGCTAGCAGCCTTGAGCGATGAAGTGGAGCCGCGGGGTATTTCCGCGTTGCTGCTGCTGCTGCTGCTGCTGCTATTGATGCATGTAAATGCTTCTGAGTAGCCAACCGTTATTTTCAAAGTATTTTGGGTAATTTCGCACACCAGTGTGCTGCTGCTGTCGGCAGCAGCAGCAGCAGCGGCTGCTGCTGCTGCTGTCTACGCCTGTTGCGCATGCAACGACCGCCGCTGCCGCCCGCAGCAGCAGCAGCAAGTTGAGGGCACCTTCTCAGTTTGCTTCTCTTCCTAAATTATGAATTGAATTTATTTTGTGAACTCTTTCACCGCTTCGTAATTGGAAACTCACCCCCACAGCAGCAGCAATAGCAGCAGCAGCAGCAGCAGCAGCATCAGCCTCCACGGCTTGGGCACGCAGCAGTGCGTCAGCGAGTGAACTTCTAGTGAGGCGTCTGGCCTCTTTTTCTAACCAGCGTGTTGCTGCTGCTGCAGCAGCAGCAGCAGCCTGGAAGCAGCAGCAGCAGCAGGAGCAGCAGCAGCAGCAAGTATGGATTACTTCTCCTCCTACGCAGAGGCGGAGGACGGCGCCTCGGAAGTGTCTGCTGCGGACTCTCCGCCGCAGCAGCCGGCCGCACAGTCCGAGAAGGAGCAGCAGGAGCAGCAGGAGCAG